AAATCAGCATGAATGATACCAAGACCCTGAGACCGAAGCGAATTGGAATGCAGCCATCATTACGTTGAATATTAACACCTGTGCTTTTTTCTACTGTCACATGTTGAAGCGCAAAGGCCTATTTTGTTAGCAAACCACAAGACAAAACAACTATAGGGATTTTTGTTATTACAATTCAATTGAAAACAGTGCTTCTCTACAGCAATATTTAACAGCCATAACATTTTATACTGACAGTTGCATGACACTGGTTTTAATCTAGTGGTAAGCTGTTGTGAAAACCAATTTGAAAAACATGTTCTAATGCAGAAATTAATGTAAACACATGAAGTGAATAAAGAGGAAGACATCTTGAAATGTTGCCTATTATTCAGGAATGTACACAGCTTGCCCAGTTGATTGGAGTGCAGGCTTTTGAAAGAAACAGATGTATATTTCTTCCTTCCTTCTTTACCAGCTGATCACTACTGAACAAAGAGGATTCCTGAAAATCTGTGTAAGCAAACTGTGACTTAAACACATTTATACTAAGTAGAGAAGGACAGCATGCTTGTTGTGAAGGTGGGTTGTGGTTCGTGTGGAGTGACCAGCAGCAGTTGAGCCACATTTCCACTTGACTTTAAATGCTTGGCTTCCATTAAGTTGGCCGAGTGTTAAAGGAACAAACAGCCAACACTGCTAATGGTTTCTGGCTGACTCCTTGACAACCCCTCCCCTCTCCATATAGACACACACATACACACTCCTTCCTTTTTCTATTTCTCCCTTTCTTTCATTTTCCAGGATACCCCCTCCGTCACCCCTCCCCTCTTTTCACATCAAACACTAATGTTTCCTTCAAATTCCTTTTCCTCTCTTGTCTGCCAACTTTGAAATCACAGGAAATTACGCTAAGAATTGGCTAGGGTTTTTTTTTTTTTTTTTGCTTTCAACTTCATTCCACTTCCCTAACAGACGCTTTTCTTCGTGTCTCCAACACACCAGCCTCCTTCTTCCACTTCCTTTTTTCTTTTTTAAGCTGATGTGTTTTTTCTGGCTCCCATCACTCCACACACACACACACACATCACCTAAACTCTCCACCAGCACTCTTTCACATGCATGCAGATGCCGCAAAATGCTAACTACACCTAATGCAAGTTCTAGGTGTATTCGCTGGAGGCTAGTAGGACGGTTTTTCTTTTAAATCTCAGACATCAACAGTGGGATCAGTGTCTGTGCTTGCCTTCTATGGCTGGATCAAGGAAAGGGGCCATGAGGAGAGTAGCTAATTGGTAGTGAAATGAACTGTTCAGAATGTGTCACGGCGTGTGTGAGAGTGCATGTATGATCATGTGCATACTCTCTGTGCAGGTATATGTGTGACTGAGGAAACAGACACAGCTACAGTGAATAATTCAATAAATGTGGCTTAACAGTTAAAAGGTTCCCAAGAAATATTTCTGGACTCAAGAATTACACAGTTTACATGTACACCAATAGCACTGTAAACACAAATATTAAGGTAGCAGTTGAGTCACAGTGTTTAAATTAATCTTAAGAGAGGTCTTTGTATTGGCTCCTAGCTTCCTTCACATGGTTTTTTATGGATACGTGAACGTGTCAATGCAGCATGTAGTGTGCTTGAATATATACATTTCACTGTGTGGATATAGTATATTTTACATAGATGTGTAATGAAAGGTAGAGTCTAGCTACCTATTGTGTTTATGATGTTAGTGTCCTGCACACACAAACACAAAAATATGCTGCCGTGTGTTTTGGTCTGATATCTGTCACCAGAAATCTGTCATCAGTCGTCAGAAATGTTTGACCCCATCCCCAGATTCTAGGGGGTAAATATGAAGTTGTTTGTGGTGCTAAACGCATCAAACAATAGCCTTGCTCCTCTGCTGTCAACAATTTTCATAGGGACTTTTTACTGGCAGAAAATAATGTAAATAGCTGTTTATAAAGAGGTCTGTGGATTTAACAGGAAAACAAATACTGTTTTTTTTCATTTTTCTTAAATTTGTTTAATAATAATTGTTGAGGATTTGATGTCTTATTTGACTAAATTCAAGTAATCGTTATTCTTCTGGGGTTATGGCTAAAGACAAAAAAAACGTATGGCCAGATTTCATTTAAAATACCTATGATGATTGTAAGTGAACAAGTAACATAAATCCAAGCTGATACAAAGATACATTTCCACGATATGAAAGTGTTGTCAATAGGACGGAGACACATTCCTACATTATTCTATATCCAATACCTCCAGTGGATGACATTTATTACTGTGGAGTCTTTATTTAATACAAGAGTGGGGCTTAATTTCAGCAGGATTTAATCATAATAATGAAAGACAGTCAAAGAGGACCTTTTGTTCCTCTGCTAAAACCCACTACGCACACTCTCACAAACACACACATGCACACTCTCACAAACACACACATGCACACACACACACACACACACACACACACACACCACACACACACACACACACACACACACACACACACACACACACACACACACACACACACACACACACACACACACACACACACACACACACACACACACACACACACACACACACACACACACACACACACACACACACACAGTCACTCAGTCTTGGGGAAATCACAGAGATAGACGTACACGCATATCTTTGTTGACGTCACGTTGCCTGGCAACATCCCAGCATGCTTGGCTGTAACAAGCTGAGGTCTCAGCCCTGAAGCGCAATGCATCATGGGGAATTGTGTGTGCCGTGTCTTACATCACCCACAATCCCCCTTGCTGATGCAGCCGCAGTCAAGAAGACGGTGGGAATGTTCTGTGCGGCTGATCCTGGGGCAGTCTCTTAGCATGTGAGGTTAAGAAAGGGGGGGGGGGGGTTTATCCTCCTACACACACAGCTGCAATTATGTCCATCTTAACTGCGTTTGCTGCATCTCTTGAAATGTAATTATTAGTCACTTTAAGACTCGATATACAGTATATTATGCAGTGCACATCTGGGGCATTCGTTTTCAGCCCCCCCCGATCAGACCCCTGACCGCTTTTCTGTAGGTGAGGCTCATTACGCTCATCTGAGGATGTGGAATTAAACCTCCTCCTCCGAACTCATTACTGTGAGCTAGATTTCACCGGCTGCAGATAGGCAATGCGGTGGTGCTGCTTTTAAAGCCAGAGCCAGATAATTAGAAACTTTAGAAGCGCATTTCCCATGGCTACAGCCAGAGTGAACAACTAATTCTATTTGAACTAATTACGTTCCATAGCGCTACGTTCGGGCTATTTAATATGCCCGAGGATTTCATCACGGAGCAGGAACAGGGATGTATTTTTGTGCGTGACTGACTGTACGTCATTACTCTCTATGCACAGCTTGTCTCCACATACACACCCCCACTCACTCCCAATTGTGTGTATTTCATGCTGCGAAAGCCCTGAGCCTCCTCAATAATGCTCGTTCTGAGAGTGTGTTGACATCATCAAAATGCGTCAGATGAGGTTTAGATCTGCAGTCTGGGTAATGAAGTCTCAGTAAAGACTGCAGAGCACAGCGTGGCCAGACAGACAAAATGAATGGAATTGAATAGAGTCAATTACAGCTTTAAATATTTGAACCTATTTGGCAGATGATGTCATCATTGTTTAATTTCTTTTGGTATAGTGATAAAGGTGAGTGGTCCTGGCTTCAGCCTATGTTTAGTTATTGCTGTGAATGTATTACATATTTTGTAGCTTTTTAAGCCGTCTATTTCTCTATTGAAACTTTAAAATAAATAAAGTTAGCCTTCTTTTATTTATTTATTTTTGCTTGTGTTGATTTTGAGTGTACAGGCTATATGCGTTCATAACAATCATAACTAAAATAGTATAAACAAACATAAAATAAATACAGTAATAAAAAATATATATATAGAATGTTGACTCTTCTTAAAAAAAACATATTCCATATAACAAAACATATTTAATTAAAGGTGAGAAACTCTTTTATGAATAAAAAGCATTCCACACACATTTGGAGAATATTCTAAGACAATGTAGGAAGTTTAGCTGTCAGTCCATCTGTGTTTCCCTCTCTCTCTTTGTGGACTTGCTATGTGTGGAAGCTCGCTCGCCCCAATAAGAGGTGTCCAGGCCAGCAGACCAGGCTGACTAAATATAGCAGGCACTGACAGCGAGGGACATTCCCCCGTCTCTCACTGTTGCTCTCAGTACTGCTGTTTCACTACACACTGATGGAGCTAGATTTGTCAGACGGAAGAAGTTTGTGATCTGCCAGAAATGTGGGACACACATATCCCCCACACACACATATAGTACACACAGATTAATACACACGCATACATTCCCTGTATTTCTCCCTCCAACACATCTTCCAGTCCAAATTGGATTTACTTAAGACTCAATAAAGCAGACAGAAGCGCTATTGTCTCCAACACAGGCCTATTGTATTGCACAGAGAGACTGTGACGTGGGTCGGCTGTGTGTGTGTGTCTGTGTTGGCTACACAGAAAGCATTCCACTACACACAAACAAACAGACATGCATACACAAACAAAACAAATCAACAAACAAACAAGCACACTAATACAGTTCAGAAGCAAATGAATATATATTAAAGCACCTAGTCCAAGAAGAATGGACATGCTTACTTCCATACCACTACCCCATCCCCCCACCACACACACACTCACACACACACAGCATCAAACCCATCCCGCTCCAGTGGAAGTCTGAGGGGAATCTGAGTGATGAACAGGAGTGACACCACCACATGCCGGCGCATGAGAGATGTGCTGCCTGGAATTTTAGGCCGGATCTCAAATTGAACATGCCAAGCCTTGAGGGGGAAAACCACTGGAGAATGTTCCATCACGAGAAGCGAATGTCCCGCAGCAATATCGCTAATAATACCAGCTACAAATTATCTGGATCAGCACCACAGGGGGGAGGGGGCTTATTCATGAATTGCACGAAAATGTTTGTTAACATACCTGCTGTTGAGGGTACTGCATCCCGGCCATGCCCATTTGAGGCCTCCCCTGCATGCTCATTGGATATCTGTGCGGAGGAGGCGATGTGTATGGCTGGTTTGGAGGGTAAGGCCCGCCCCCTTGCTGTTGGCTGGAGTAGGCATTGTTGGCCATGCTGTACAGCTGCGAGCGCTTCATAGCCATGAAGTCCATGGAGGACACCTGTAGCGGGGGAAAGAGGGATTAATGATATGCTATTCTTATTGGATAATAATTTACATTCATTCCCGACGATGCTTCGTGATTGGTTAATAATTCATCTAGAGTCTGCCAAGTTGGACACAAGTCCACTTAGCGCACGCACTACAAACCACAGCCGCCATTGATTTATCTTATAACAGTACAGCGAGCAAAAGCCTTAAATTAAAGTGTACAGGTCATAAATGAACTACAAATGGAATTAAGTAAGCAAAGATGTTTATTGCGTAAAGCTATCAGGAGCTACGTTTGCTGGAGTAGGGCCAACATATAATGATTTAATTAAAACCTACAGCTTGTATCTTTGTTTTAATGTCTGAAAGGCTTTTTAAAAGTGTTGTAAATGTTGTTTAAAGCGATGGGAAGCCAGAGCAATAAATGGCCTTGTTCCCACAACCACAGCCCAGCCGTGCCACTAATCGCCGCGCAGCGATCGCTCGCTTGCTTGCATGTCGTTGCTTACTGCTCACTGGCAGGAATACTGATAATTACATTAGCGTTCATGCTCTTCTGAATTCAAATAACAAAAACACTTAAGTGTTGAGAGTATGGCAGGGGTTCAAACTGTGCATTACAATGGTGACGAGGCATTTGGAGTTTGAATCCCAGGAGGGAACTCAAGGCAGCGAAGCAGTCAAAGTACACGAAGTTCGGAGCTAGCTTCTTATATGAACACAAAACACAATCGAAGAGAAGAAAGAGAAGGTGTCATGGGCGATTTATCCCATTGTAAGTATTTCAGAGTCTTTTTAAGAGGTTGTTTTGGGTCTCAGTGAGCCATCTGAAAATTCCAGTACAGTGCGTCCGGCTAATGATAATCCGTCACCCGTAGCGACGTGTTTGTCTGTGTGCCGGGGCAGATAATGTGGACTTCTTCTTCTTCTATCTCTCCTCTCATGCTTTCTCCCTTTTGTCTCCGCCGTGTAGGATCATGTGTGATTTATGACATTTTGTTCCTACTGTTTCTTACACACATACACACACTTTCACGTCTCCTCTCATCTCTAACTAACCCCGACCCCCCACCCCCCTCCTCCTTCTCCTCTTCCACCACCAGCTCCCTCCTCAGTTCCCTCTCCTCTTCCCAACTCAATATCACCTCGTCTAGCGCAGAGGAGAAATTGCCGCTGCCTCATATTGCCGGGCTAATATCAAGCAGACATGTCAGGGGATGGGAGCACTTTATTCAGCGGGTTACGTGCGGACGGTTACGCCGCTCTAGCTTTAGAGTGGTTTTGTCTACTGAGGCATGTGTGTGGAGTACATTGGACTATTTCACAGAGTGCAAAGGAGAAAGAGAGAGAGAGGGATCGCAAAAGAAAACCAGAGCACGTGCAAGAGAGATAGAAATGAGTACTCTGGGGTGTCTAAAAGTTCTTCAACAGCATGGAGGAGAATGGGGGGTTATCCTGCAAAGGTCTGCATCACCAGGATTTTTGAGAGCCTAATCCTAAGAAAGATAGAAAACATTTGCTATGTCTGTGTGTAATGCATTTTTTGAAGTCCACTTCCTGTTCGGTACTCTCTACTTACCTCCCCCCCTTCATATTTGAAACTGCTAATAAGCATCGTGTTGCTAAAGTCAAAGAGTGCACAAGCAGCTCTGACATTAAAATGAAATATTTAAGCTCTGGACAAATCTGACACCTAATGACAGAATGATTGCCAGCATTAGAGTGAAGCACATTAGGGAATAATTACAGTTATCAGCCAATGTAGTGTAAAACCCGTAAAAAATAAAATGTTTTCGGAAGAAAATTATGAATATCCTTTTTGAAATAATGATGGATATACTTCCATTTCTAATTCTTGATTGATATTATTTTTCTTGGCTACTTATTGCTCAGGAAAACAATGAAGATCCTGACTGAACTGGAACTAGAGTGACCTAATAACTTCATTTTGACAGCAACTAAAATAGATGAAGTCCTCAACAGCGTCTGAACTAAGAATTGCAAATAGTCAAACCAACTGAATATCAAAGGAATAGTATTTTTGGATGGGCTAAATTTGACTCTGGTCATGTGCTTTTAATGTAGCAATAATGGTGTTTCCTCTAGACTCTCGAGCAATGGGCACCACATGATCAGCTCAAATGTTTGCACCCTCACAAGGCAGCCCCACACACACACACAGGTCCACTAAGCAATAAAAAGCAAAAAGGCGACACTCTCCAGTTTCTAAATATCCAGGGCACTGTGCCACTCGTGATACGGGACACACACCCACCCCGGCTCCATCCAGTTCACCAATCCATCTCGAGAGGTCCTCCGTTTGCCAAAACTGCTGAGCGCTACACAAGTAAATCCTCTCACATGGCTGCCAAGTGTAAACGCAAAATAATATACAAAAAACTGCTGCACTTAGAAAGGCACTGGACACAGAAAACAACTTCAGAGTTTTGGGATTGCACAAGTGGACGCTCCATTAAACACACACACACACACACACAGGCACAAAAAAGTGTATTAGTAGAATCTTGCAGCGGCTCTCACTGTTGATCCCTCTCATCTCTCTCCCACTCTCTCCCGCACTTGTGGGAAATTCTTAAATAAAACGGCCTCAATAAAATGATAGAGCTCCATCTTCCACACATGGCATTATCCACACCTGTCCACGGAGGCAAAAAAATGATTCTCCGCCTCCCCAAACAGAGCCTCATATCTACTCTCATGACAAGTTCCAGTAAATGAGATTTCAGCCCACTATCTTTTCCTAGAGATATGCCCACCGTTTCCCTCACAACCCCAGGCATAAAGAAAAAAGCCCCGACAACAATTCTTCATAAAATTGAAACATTATTTTGTTCCCCTCCTCAGAGAAATGACTGTACTTAGGAAAAAAAATTAGGAATATGACACAAAGTGAATCGTGTTTGCGCCGGGAGGGACAGCAGATAAAGAACTTGAGGGAATACAGAGAAATTGTTTTTTATTTTCTTCAAAATGTGTTTTTCACTTTTATTCATCTGGGCATGCCATTCAATGGAGGAAGGGGAGGAGGCAAGGGAGACAATAGTAATTCAACTGCTAAATTTAAAATTCAATTTATGAACTCCTCTCCAGCTTTCTGACTCTCGTGAGGGTTTTTTTTCTCTTTTTTTTGCAAAACAAAGCCATTAAAACAGAACATGGGTGAAATTACTGTGGGGTGAAACCTGCTAAATTGCTTTTCTGAGCTCAATCGACAACATTTTTATGTTGCAAAAAAATGATTGTATTCCTTCTCGCTTTAATGTTCTAAGTTGCTAATCAGAAAGAGACAAAATGCTCGACACAAAAGGCTCGGCGATGTGGATTATGAGACACACACTGGGATCAAACAGACATAAAACAATATTGGTAAATGGCTATTATTCCAAATTCATTTTGAATGAGCGAAAAATTCTTTTGATTTATCAGTCGTGGGGAATGAAAGTGCTTCCAAACAAGGCTGGCGCGCAGAAACACACACTCACTTACACACTTTGTCCCTGTGGCTATTGCTGCCCTCGTCCTTCACACCAGATGCCCAAATCATCACCTGTCTGCACCAGGCCTTCATTCCGGTTATTTACCACACACACACACACACACACACACACACACACACACACACACACACACACACACACACACACACACACACACACACACACACACACACACACACACACACACACACACACACACACACACACACACACACACACACACACACACACACACACACACACACACACACACACACACACACACACACACACACACACACACACACAGGCTCACACACAGGCTCACACACAGGCTCACACACAGACTCACACACATGTATAGCAACTGTATTGACTGCACCTGTTTACATGTTTCCACTCAAATCCTCAGTTTGTTCTTTCCCCTGCAATAAAAATGATGAACAACCTGCTTTGTTGAGAGACGGTTACTGCTACATAAATAGTTGAACCTCCAAAATAGCAATTCAACCATTATGATCCGTCATATCACCTTGTGGTTTCATTCTGTCTAGATTAGAACAGACTTGGGTAGGCAACAGTTCCTATGAAATCCCAAAGAACCAGCAGCTGCAGTGAGTATTGGCGCTCTAAAGCTCCCTGTACTTAGCTTCAGTCTACAAATATAGCAGGATTCATATTTTTCAGCCATTATATTATAAAAACCAATTCAGCAATCACATTGTGCAAATTACTGCCATGTGAAAATGGTTCTGAATATCACCATAGAAAAACGCATCAAGCCTGATTGTGTATGAAAATTAGCCCCAAGATGCCTTTTGGGTATTGATTATCTTGTGTTTTTCTTGTAGGAGCTACTGCTGAACGCCGGCTTTTTATACCTGTGTAATGAAAGCGTTTGAGCCTGTGTGCATTTGTAAGGAGAAACAAATAAGGATAATTATTGTCAATGGATCCTCTTTATCCTCTGCGTCTGTCTCAGGAGAATCAACATGCTGCAGCCAGAGCCGGTCGGTCTGCTGGGACAATCAGCCTTGTCTTTTATGTGTTTTATTTATACCACGCAGCAGAGCTCTCGCCCATTCCTATTACACTATGGGGCCCCAGCGATGCCCCGGCCTTCAGAACAAACCTCTGCATTTCAGGATGTGCATTTGGGCCCTATTGTTTCAAACAGAGGAGAAATAGAATGGGATGGAAAGGAGAAAAACATAGGAGAGGGGGGGGGGGGAGAGAGAAAGAGGAGACTGCAGCAGTGGGCGAGTACAGATCGAGTTCCATATTAATGTGTGCAAATTCCCCCGCTCCTGCTGACTAAGATTAGAAAAATTAATTTCATGGATGCAGAGACAATACTGATGTCATCAAGCGGAGAGGAGAGGAGCTGTTAACTCCTTGCTGCCCGGGCCTCAGGGAGGAATAGATCACTCCTTAGTATGGGTCCATCACTTCATTTCACTTAACTAACACCACACAACACTTAGCCTTGACAGATCTTTCCTATCAAGTTACC